AGCCAGATACTTGGCACCTCATCTTGGGTGCAAGTTCATCAATGTTTGGGCTCAGGCTCTGAGCTGAGGAGACCCTCAGGATTGAGTGAAGGTGGGCGTGCAATATACCGGCGGGCCAGATCTATTAGTAATTAGAAATTATCCTGCGGGCCGAAATTAAATCCGCCAAGGGCCTGATTTATCCCCCGGGCCTTGAGTTTGACATATGTGCCATAGAGGAAGAACTCTTTCCATTTTGTACACATTTGGACACCAACCTTGTGGCAAATTGTCAACTTTGTACTTGGAAAAACTGGAAAACAGCAGTTGGACTTTCTTGACCTTTCCTCTTCTTTTGCAATCAAGCCAAAAATATCAGTGAAAGCATGACTCATGACCTGACTGAAGATACTAGGTCATCATCTAATGGGAAGATCACCAATAGACTGAGCACAATAATACTCCCAAGGGGATATACAGTAAACTTCTGATTATTTCAACTTGATGACCCTTTTCTTTAGAGCTAGTCAAAAAGTCAAAGTCAACTTTATTGTCAATCTCAAAATATGTTTGTATACACAGAAAGATCGAAACACTGTCTCCCACAGTCCCGAGGTATAAAAAACTCACACATTAAATTGCAAGAAGACTCAATAATTTACAAAAAACCCACAAAATAACCGTTTACTTAAAGTAAGCAAGGATATATATAAAAAAAATGATGTACATAGTGCAAAAGGGAGTGCAAAATTGTCCATAGCAGCGTAAAAGTGACTGTGACTGGTGCTGGCCTCAGGACACACATTTTGCCGTCATTAACTTCTTCCAAATGTTCAAACTGTGGGGCCTGGAGTTTAAGGGCCACAGTATAGGGGAATACTGTCGGGTTTCTGATCGTTCCCCAACCCCCTTCCAGATGGCTGAGGAATATTTATGGTTTATATATAGTTTTATAGTTTTTGGTCGTGTGAGTACCCCATTGATTTAGCATTGCACTCCAATAAAACAGGGCCTATTGAGGGAAACCTTATCTCAACATATCAGCCCTAACATTTGCATTTAGTTATTCTCTTTTTATATAAATGCTAGGTTCGTTTTCTATCAAGTTTGCTTCAGTTATAATAGTATTACTGACACCATTTACAATTAGATTCGTTTTTTGCTGTTGTCTTTATTCAGCGCAAAGGAAAGCGGTCTCACTCATCAATAAGGAGTTCATAATAAGGATGGAAAGACCAGTTTAAAAAGTGACCAAACCAACAATCCAGAGCTACCTTGCTTGTAGCATAGACGAAGCGCTAAAGCGTGCTAGCTGCTTACGAGCCAATTTGTGGTTTATACGATGAAACATTCCTCTAACAGCAACCTCATGTCACATTGTCAACTTCGTAATCAGAAAATTGAAGAAAGCCAATAGGCGGTTGTATAAAAAGTGGCCAGAAAAACATCCAGAGCTACCTTGCTTAGACATAGCGTTACTCTTGCTAGTTCCTTTTTGGATAATATGATGCAACTCAATCGCTGGAAGTATAGGATTGAGAGTAAGAAAGAAGTGAGCTTTGCCAGATGTCTGTATCAGGTGCCTTTCTGCTTGAAGCTAGCAGCTCTTTGCTACATTAGCCGCTACTAGCTTAGACGCGCTAATATCTGACTGAACTGTTAGCAGTATGTTGCATTTTCTGGAAAGGCACCAGGTTTTGCAAAGCATTAAGTCATCGTCAATTGTAAATTAAGTACACATAGCCATTGTAAGATGTCAACATTTAAATATGACTTATTTAAAATTGTCAGTTGATGTAAACAAATGATGCTACATGCGCTACATGACTGACAACAACAATGTGAAGGCTATTTATTTTACTAGTAACCAGAAAGACTAAAACCTCTATCTCTAGCTGGGAGATGTGTGTCTATGGGGAGATTGCAACGTACCATAATTATAAACAAGCAAAAGACCTGTCATGATTTACCTTTTGGTGATTCAAATGTAATTTGGCTATCGTTCTTTAGCTAAGTGGGTGTAATCTGTGCTGCTGGGTTAGCTCGCTGAAGCTAGCTTGAAGACTTATTTAAAAAAGAGCAATTAGTTCGCTAATCTAATATCATTAAACAAAATAGCTACGTGTTGTTAAAACTTCTTATAACCCACACACTAAAACAGATGATGTATTATAAAACCTTTTTAATGTTATTCATCACTCCCAACCACAGCTGTTTGCTCTCATTCTCCCTCTGTCTTTAATCTTTGTTCCTCCTGCAGGTTACTCTGTGGCTGGTGGCGAGTTCAGTGGGGATGATGAGGAAGGTGAGGGTCATGTTTACAGTACAGAGAGACAACATGCATGGCTGACTACAGGGTCAAACTCTGTCTAATGTCTAACTGCTCAGCCTTGACACACGTGATTGAGTGGAAAACGATTATTAAGTCTTTCCGGAAGCAGGAACAATTAGAGGGGAATAAAATACAAACAAACCTCAAACTTCATGAAGTGTCTTTGTTCATTGCACTGGAAAAAAATGCAAAAACAAGCTGTTTTCACTTGAAATAAGTACAAAAATCTGCCAATAGAACAAGTGAAAATGTGCTTGGTAAGATTCCTTGAAGAAGGGATATCTAGATAAATCAGATCTTGTAATTAGCTGGGAAAATTTATGTTGAACTATATTTTACCAGAATCAGTAAATGTTGTGTTGCAAAATAAGCTGCAAATGCTCAAAAGTGTTCTGTTTTCTGATGTTAGTTGGTGATTTTCCAATAAAAATGTGAAAAAAAAAAAAGGTTTCATCTGAGATACAACTCAAAATAAGATTGTTTGACTTAACAAGATGATGCATTGTCTAATAACAACACCTGATATCTCACTGCACTGAAGTTATTATGTCTTATAGCAAGTGTAAATACATATTCTGACTAGATATTAGACAAATATACTTGGCAAGATTTCAAATGTAGTGTGGTCACACCTTTTTTTGTCATCAGTGTTGTTTTGAAATCTCTTAACCTTTGCTTTCCTTGATGCAGATTTCATCACAGGAGTTCCTAAAGGACTCATGCTCTATGGTGTAGTAAGGAATCTCGATATTTAACAGAAAAAAAACACATTTAAAAGTATAAACATGCAGTATACCTTAATAATCTATGTTTTCCGTCGCACTAGGTGTCCATATTGAATGCAAAGGACCTGAAGTCTCTGCTCAACTTGACAGGAGAGCAGGTATGTGCACATCTGGCTGGATATCTTCTGTAATATAGCCCCATTTTCATATGTGGGTACACGTTTAAATTGGCTGGAGATGAAGGAATGTGCCCTGTGGAGAGGGTCAGAGTTTGAGCTTACAGTATGCACAGCTCAAGGTTCCTAAAAAGCTGTAACCCAAACCCAGAAACAGCTAGTGTTCATGTTGTCACTGCATTGATTGAGCATGTACTTTTTAAATCAGGAAGTCCTGTAGTGTGGTTGAATTTGTGAGTCACTCGCTGAGCTGTTAGTCATAGTGCTTAAAATATAACCAGAAGATGTGTTATTTAAAAAAACAAAATGTCCCTTACTCCTACACTGTAACTAAAAATTGCTTTCTAAAGTTCAGCTGAAACTAGGCTTTCTCGATTGAAAGGAGAGAGGCACGTATTGAAAACGTCACTTTTATTTCCTTGTTCCAAAGAGTGGGCATGAAACTAATTTGCTTCATCTACGTAAAGGATGTATTGGCTAAGTTTAGGTTACAATTGTTTCCTTTATATATTTATCGTTATATACCATCTTTTGCTTCTCAGGCAAGTGTGTTTCAAGTGTTTTTTTTAAATCCACTCATATTTTCAATTGCAAATGCACATCAAAACTGATGGATGGAAACTGTACTTCCTAACTGAATTGGCGAAAACATACAGTGGGAACTTGGCACTAAAGAGGCTGTATTTTTCAAAGTTACCCTCATGGTTTGTCTGACTCAGACTACTGTAACTGTGGTTGCAGAATAAATGAAACCTTTGATCAACTTTGGAATTTCTTCTTGCGTAGGAATGAAATGAAGTCGCTTTTGGAACTATTTTCAGTAATTTTAAAGAGGCCCTATTATGCATTTGGGGTTTCCCCTTTCCTTTAGTGTGTTCTATAGGTTTTTTGTGCATGTAAATAAAACATGAAAACTGACAGATCGTGACACATCCACAAAGTAGCTTTCCCATTCATTGTCTATGAGGCAATTCCATGCTTTACTTAATGGCATAACACCTTTGAGACTTCCTTCTCTAGTTTCTGTATTTGATAGAGAGTAGTTCATGTTCCCAGATATTGAAAAAGGTTTCCCAGGCCATGAAAAATGATATGGAAATTCTAGTTTAGGCTTTTTGGGAGTTTTTCCCTAGGTTTTTGTGCATGTAAATGGTCTGCAGAAGGCTAAATTCCCTGTGTTCCCTTCAGAGGAAGTTTCTCTCCACAAATACTGCCTGAAACGTCTCCATTAGACTCCTTTGTTTACTTCAGTAACATAGTGACATCACTTTGTAACACTCACGCTTCTTTTGGCTAGCGCTCCAACACATTGTACGTGATATGTGCAGCGTAGGGCACTGAAGAACGATGCTGTTCCTACTTTGTTTGGACCAGCGGGAGATTCGGGTACACAACCTGTAAGTATTCATTGTTGTTTGTGTATTTATGATGTTTAAAACAAACAAGGTATCTACCACGACTGTTTAAATGGGTAAACGTTTTTCGGACTACTACGTTGGGATCGCGGAGAAATGCTCTCTGCAGACCCATTCTCACAGCGTTATAAACCTTTTTCTTACTCAATATCAAGCCACACTTATTGTTTTTACTTCGGCTGTGAATGTTTGTGTGTGCTCAGGATGAGTTTCGCTTGTTCTCGCTGTATCGCCGACACGGAAGCCTGTCTGCTCCTCGCAGCAGCTCGCAGCAACGAGTCTCTCAACGTCCCGACCAATCAGAGCACACTGGGCTCACAGGGAGGGGGGGTTAGGAGCTCCAACAAGCCGTTTAGGACAGAGAGTGAATACACATACTATACAGAGATGCTGTATGAGAAACCAATGTGAGTTTGGAAAATTGAACAATATAAATCTATTCTAGTAGACCTCAACAATGGAATTATGATCAGTAGAAATGGCCATGACATGGGACCTTTAACCATCATGTGATGTTTTGCAGCGTTCTGAGCATGTCAGTTGGAGTTATGACATCATCGTGTACCATGGCAAGGGATCGCCTAGCATCGAGCAAACGTGAAAATGGGCGCTACATCTCGGCTACGTCGTGCGTTTAAAAGCGCTCAGCAGCTGACCTGATCCCTCATGCCTGCAGTCGGTGTGATAAGGTAATAAAATAATAACTAGATATCACCAAGTTTCCTCCCCAGTTGATACCTTAAGGCACAAATTAGGCATTACCCTTTTAAATATTGCAATTATGCTATAATACTCATTTGCAAAGATCTCCGGTATGGATATGTGAACACTCGATAAAGTCAGGTTCATAATTTACATTTCATTGTGTTCACATGTTACAGTTCTAACATTTTTATGAACATGAATGATATATGAACAAACCCTCCAAAAAAAACCTTCAGAATGTTAGTATTTCTGTGAAAGATGTCTTCTAAGAAAGGAAAAAAGGCTCTTTTAGAGAAAGCAGCCTTTAAAGATATGTAGTGTAAAATGAACGGTCAAAAATGCAACTAATAAATAACACCATGAAACGTCCTCATTGATTCTTAACATAAAAACACAAAGACAATACCTTTTTGTAATTTATGACACTTTTTTGTGTACAGTAATCAAATCCAATCCACTTTATTTCTATAGCACATATTAAAAACAGAGGGTTTACCACAGTGCTTCACAGCAAACATAACATTATAATAAAATATAATATTACAATAATAGATAAAAGGCACACATAAGAATGAATACAAGGTACACAAAGGCTATGGACAGACAATAAAAGCATACAAATCGAATGCTTGAATATGCTAAAGATGCATGATCTATTTGACCTTTGGTGAATATAGAAGAAATCTACTGACGAAAAGACAAAGTTAGTAAATAAACACCTACATTTGTATTTTTCTCCAATGGTCCGAATTGAGCATTAAGGGTTAGGGGTTGGTTGGTATGTGAATAACCCTGAATGACCTAGCTTAAAATAACTACATAACTACATTTGCTACATATTTGTTTTTATGTATTTAATTTGCCTTCAATTACTTTAAAGGTGGGGTAGGTAAGTTTGAGAAACCGGCTCGAGATACACTTTTTGTTATATTCCATGGAATGCTCTTAACATCCCGATAGCAATGAATATGTTAAGTGCTTTGACAAAAAATCCATAAAAAAATGTCATCTGTGGAAGCCGTGGTACTGTAAAAAGCACGACCAATCATTTTAGCCGGCCCGGCTAAAGTAACTGGATGGCCTACCTGCCTGTCAGCCTTCCATCTGTGCACAAACTTATCTCGTGCCCTCATTGGTCATGTGCGCGTTCGTGTGTGTTGGAGGAGGGGCTCTGTAAGGAAGTGGCAGATTTTTTCCGGTTGTGTATTTTCAAATTCTAGCGCACTCGAGCCGGTTTCTCCAAAATTACCTACCCCACCTTTAATTACTTTTTTTTTTTTTCTTTATATTTCTATTTTTACGGTTGTTCCTTGTCAGTGAGTGCTTAAAGAGTTAGGGTTAAAAATGGGTTGTTAACAAATAATATAAAAAAACAAATATTGACACACATTGTTCAACTTGTGACCTTTACAGTATATAGAGAGGTGAAGTCCCTCCCTTTCCGGGGGACCTCCATCAAATCAAATCAAATGAAGGTTTATTTATAAAGCACATTTAAAAGCGATTTTTGGTCGCGCCAAAGTGCTGTACATGTAATAACTACAATCACATAAAAACACATTTCTATAATCACAATAAAAGACAATAAATTACAACAGATATTTAAAAAGAAAACACAGGGTTAAAGTCAGGAGTCGTGCTCCATGGGACCTTATTTCGGAAAAAGTATGTATTGAAGTCAATGGAGAGAGAAAGATTATCTTTAGATCCCGTTTGAATTGTGCCACGAATTACACATATGATGTTTGTCAATTTAAAAGATAATTTTACAAGTCAAACAAATAAAAATGTGTCGTAAAACTGTGAAGTAACCCTTTTTCTGTGTGAAACCGCTCAATGAACTACATCTCCCGTCTCGCACCACACACCAAGACGGCCGTCACGTTGGCACATTTCACTTCTTTCTTTCAGAATGAGGCGAAAAGTATTAAAAGAGGTGAAAATCACTCCAAGTCTGGGCATGTTGAGAGCTGTACATACACACAAGGGGAGTTAGTCGGTTCTGTAAGAGCCAGCATGCGGGACCGGGATTCTGGGATTTGTAGTCTTTCTAGTTGCGTATTTTTCATAGTCTTATATTTCAACAGTTTTACGACAAACTGTGACTTTTTTGACATGGAAATTATTTTTTAAGATTGACAAACATCATATGTGTAATTCGTGGCACAATTCAAACGGGATCGAAAGATACGTTTTCTCTCTCCATTGACTTCAATACATAATTTTTCGCAACTACCATTTTCAAGAAATCTTCAGACATTCACCATACATAGTTACTCATGTATTTTACGTTGTAGAACAAAACATCCCTTCAGCTTGTGTTAATCACAGAGCTTATTTAAGGCATCTAACCAAACATGTATTAAAATAACGTTGACCAACGGGTAGGGAACCCCAAAGTGCTAAAATTGGATTTGTGGGTTTAGGACTTATCACTGCACCACGCTATTGTGACCGTGTGTGTGTGTGTGTGTGTGTGTGTGTGTGTGTGTGTGTGTGTGTGTGTGTGTGTGTGTGTGTGTGTGTGTGTGTGTGTGTGTGTGTGTGTGTGTGGTGTGTGTGTGTGTGTGTGTGTGTGTGTGTGTGTGTGTGTGTGTGTGTGTGTGTGTGTGTGTGTGTGTGTGTGTGTGTGTGTGTGTGTGTGTGTGTGTGTGTGTGTGTGTGTGTGTGTGTGTGTGTGTGTGTGTGTGTGTGTGTGTGTGTGTGTGTGTGTGTGTGTGTCAGTTTCAGCTTAGTCTCCAGGGGATGTTGCGTCCTGTAGCCAGGCCGGCGATGAGGATGCCGATGCCGACGAGGCCGTAGGTGTGAGTGCTCATCGTGGACACTCTCTGCATGGACGACTGGGCCAGCTCAGAGAAGCTGTTGATCTGTGAGTGACAGGTTCAATACTGTGGTCCATCGTAATGACTCGGGAGAACATATTGTTAGGAAATCAATGAAGAGAGAATGTATGCACTAAAATATATATTTTTTATTTGATTTACTTGAAAATGTGTTTACTAATAAAAGATATTTAAAATAGCACGTGTTATTACAGAAATAAGTTAATTGAGACACAGCATATGTCATTAACATACTGATTATAAATGATAATAAAAGGGAACTATAATCAACTTTGGAAAGGTTAACAAGAAGGAAGCTGCTCAATGCCAGTAGAACTGAGAGCACTGTTGTTATTTATTGTGATTAAACAGGCATCGATACTGTTATTTCTTGTTTTGCACTCTTTTATATTTCCTTCTCTGTGTCTTTTTTTAACTTCTTTATGTAACATTTAAGTCTTAAGTCCGTAGTGCATGCACAGATTTGTTTTCCTTGGTCAGTCACGGCTCAGTCGATATGGAGCGGTTAAGTATTATTGGATTCAGCTTTTAGAGAAATTACCACTTTTCGGACCTAATGATTCAAACAAGGGCTATTCAAGTGTTCGTCCTGGGAAGTTGTTTTAAGTTAAAAAATATTTGTAACTCTGATATACATATTTAGCAAGTTTAGTCAATAGGAAAAGTGTTTCTTGAATCAATGACGTCACAGACTGACACTGAAGTTTTTAGTACCAGTGTTTGGCCAACTTAAAAATTGCTTTGACGCCTGGCTCACTTCCTGTGGATTCACTCACATGTTTCGCTCCTCGTACTGCTTTTAGGTCTATCACATTGCCCACTGAGGCATTATAGTCTACAAGCCATGGAAATCATAAATAACTGAAGAGGTCTCAACTGATTGGCCGATGCCATTTGGTGCAGCCATGTAAAACTTTCTATGGTCAATGAGCTGCATTGCAGGCCAATTGTTTTGCTTGAGAGTAAGGATATAAAATATTTGAAAATGGGGAAGCTTCAAAACTCGACACACTCATGGTATAACTTCATCACTGACTCAGTGTGTCAGGAACCGTTGAAGCTTTATATACGACGCTATGCAGGTTCATACAGTGAGGCTTAATGTGCCCAAAACCAGGATGGCAGAGAAAAGAGCTCCAAACAGAAGAATATGGAAGAAATGAAGTTCTGACATACCCATCCTCCATGTTCCTGAATCCAGACCAGTAGATTGTTTTTGAAAAAATCCACAGTCCATCTCTGGATCTCCATCAGTGACTCGGGGAGATGAGTCACCACCATCTGAATCACACACACACAAATAAAGTCCATACACAAGGTGAAGCGACTGCCAAACTGTAATTTATTTCAGTTACATTACTGGATCATTGGAAAAAAACTGCAACTGACAGATGTGATGGTTAGCTTAGCATGCTAGCTAGTATCAGAAACAAACTTGCCAAGTCTCTCAGTGAAACTTTGAAATAATACTGCATGTTTGCACTTCCAGTTCTCTTGTGTGGAAGCCGATGGGTTTTGGGATAGGGGTCTGTGGTTATCGCAAGTCTAATAGATTTTCTCACTAAAAAACATCCGTAGATGTCTCACAAATGTCTGCATTTCTAAGGTGTTTTGCCTTTAAGAAAGGTTGCAACCCAGGGGCTAATTGAGACTGCTAAACAGAATCACGTTTGACGCAGTAAACGTCACCAAACCAGACATCAGCCACCTTTAGCTTAGCAGTTTCGACGTGAAGTAATGCAGCTGCGATGTAATAGTCAAGCGTACGTTTTTTAGTTCTGGAGCTTGCATTTACACTCCAAAAATCATAAAAGAAAATGAATTTGGGAACATACTCCTACTGAACAAAACGTGAGTATCATAAACCTTTGATGTTATTTTCATCATAATCCATACCCTATGGAAAAATCTGATTGGCTTTTTGTCGAGGTAACCAAGGCGATGCTTACTTCTGGGTCTGCCTAAACGTCATCACTGCAACACTGATGAGCAAGAACAACTATCCCCCTCCAGTCTTTAAGATAACCACCTAAAACATTCAAAGGCTTCAGTTATAGAAACGTTTGTCACATATTTGCTAAGATGGGAGTGCAAGGTAAACGCATTCCCACCTCAATCATTTAAGTTAAAATACACAATAATAAAGTGGAGATTCCTTTTTTACTGGGAAACAGAGGTCGAAAGGCACTTCAAAGCTTTTTCCTCTAAACACACAGTGTCAGGCAGATGTTCTGAAAATCCTTTGATAAAATGAAAGTGATGCGTTTCAAAAACGAAACAGACTCTGGTGGTTAACGTTAGCAGCCTCTTCTGCAACGCTTATATGAACATAACGTTCCTCATGGAGAACTAAGTCACACACACTGTTTGATGAAAAGGTGATCTCTAATAAGTGCACACCTATGCTTTAACTGCTTAAGACTTTCAATTTACCTGTGAAAATCCATTCTCATCGTCAGCTAACAGGCTGGCTCACCTTCACAGCCAGCTTGCCGGCGATGTAGAAGAGAATAGCTATTTTCTCCCAGGTGATCCCATCCTTAAATACTTTTACTGCCACCTTCTTAAACATGTCCAACTTAGAGCCAGAGGAACGAGCCACCGCGTCGATAGCACTGCAACAGACACAAGAGAGGAGTAGTTAATCCAAGCTGAAGGGATTCTCATGTTTTGTTCTACGACATAAAATACATCAGTAAATACCCCACTGGTGAATGTCTGAATGTAATCGACAGGACAGAGACTTCACGGCCAGAAGCGGCTTTCATTGTGGCCGGGGATTTTAACACTGACAACATGAAGAAGGTCCTGCCGAAGTACTACCAGCATATCAGCTGCTCGACGCGCGGCGGAAATACACTGACTGGACCATGTTTATCCCCCTTTTCGACATGGATATAAAGCTCTCCCTCGCCCTCTCTTCGGCAAATCAGACCACATCTCACTGCTGCTGGTGCCTGCTTACAGGCAGGAACACAAACGGGACAGGCCGGTGACACGGACTATACAACGCTGGAGTGAGACTCAGCCCTCCAGCACTGCTTTGAATCTACGGAGTGGAGTGTGTTTGAGGACAAAAATATCAACACACACACAGAGTGGTGGTGACGCGCAGTCGTATGACCGTGATGTTGTAAGTGTCATAAACAAGTGTTTGTCAAAGATCTGATTTTCTGCAATATTTCTAAATCCAGAGGAAAAAAGTCATTGCTTTTAGGCGAGGTTTTCCTTGTGATGCTCACTTTCAAGTTGTTCTGAAAAATACTGGTGGGATTTATCATTTTTGAATCATAATTCTCATCAGTGGGAAATCAAATTATTCTGGTGTGTTTTTTTCCGGTACCAAACAAATATGTTTTGTTAAGTCTGTAAAATACGATTTGTAGGCCGGGATATCACAGCAGCTCCACAATACTTAATTTCAATATTTTAATACATATTTAGCCAATAATTTGCTTCCTGCAATTTAGATATAGTACCAGTAGATATTGCAATTTGGTTAACATTTTGATAATATGTGCAGCCCTAGTACTCACTCTTGGAGCCTCTTAATGTACAGACTTTCCTCGATGGAGATGGTGATGTTGGCCAGCTGGTCCACCACCTTCTGCTCCTGCTCATTCTCCACCTCTGCAGTGGGTGTAGTCAGAGGAGGAACGTCCTGTGAGGGGAGGGCTTTCAGCTCCGCATTTATGACCCTGGAACAGAACAAGACATTAATGCCAAACTGTGGAGAGACTCCACAAATCAAAAAAGCTCAGGACACAATGATGGCTCCTTTTATTTTACTCAACATAATGCCGTTTTTAGGGAAGTGTAATGGTAGTGTAGCGTTTGGTAAAACATTTCTCATTTAAACCTATGGTCATGAAGGATGGGTCATGGGTCATAACCGAAAGAACGAGATGGCGAATACAAGCAGCCCAAATGGGTTTTCTCAGGAGAGGGGCTCTCCCTTAGAGATCAGGGGAGAGGTTCAGTCATCAGGGAGGGACTCTGATTAGAGCAACTGCTCCTTTGGTAGAAAGGAGCAGTTGAAGTGGTTTGGGCAGTAAGGATGCCACCTGACCAGAAACCAGAAAGAGGCCATATTTGTACTCTCTGTGGGCTGAATTTGACTACCACGAGTAGTGTTGCAACCATCAAATAAATAGGCAATCTGTCCAATCCAAATGATCCCCTAAATCTACCAAAATGACCCAAAATTAATCAAAATCAGCCCACAACACACGCTATTGGCATTTTCTGTTTTAAACTACCAGTTTTGATCCTGAAATGTCAGAAAATTGTCTCAACATAACCAATAACCCCCAAAACCACTCCAAAATTGTCCAAATAGACCAAGCCATTTTTAGACTATTATCCACATGGCTATTAGTAAGTAATGCTAATTAACAAAACGTATGCTACGTGCGAATTGCCTAACAGCAAGTTAGCATCCAGCAGCTTCTATGTGCTGGGGACCCGTACTATACATTTCTAACATAAAACTTTGAGGTACTCTACATTTCCGGGGTCCCAAGAGGACTCTATGAACTGGCAAGAGAAGTAGCTCCCTGTCTATGAGTGAATGTGTAGATGTCTTCCATAATCCATGAGACATTTGGAGCATGTTGGAGAATGTATGCTCAAATTTAATCCTGCCACATCGAGGGCGACACACCCATTTGTGAATACAGCGTCATAAACTGCAGTGGAACTTTTTCATTTATTACTTCCTTATATAAGTCATGATCACAGTGTGATTTACCGTAAGGGAATCGTCTGTTCCTGTGAAATGAAACTGAGACTCGCTTTAGAAAGTTAACGATTCATTTAAAGTGGACCTATCATGCTATATTTGAATAATATATTGTAGGGCCATACCTATATAAGGTATATTTATACGTTTTCTTTTTCAAAATACCAAACAGATCATGCATTTTAGCCATGCCTCATTTCGCTCTATTTTGCTGTCCTCCACCCTGTCTTTGCATGCGCTGCAGCTGACCACGGGCCCCTGCAAAGGAGGGGGCCGAGTTACGAGCGTCATGTTGCCATGCTGTTACCATGCCACGGCAACCTCTCATTCCCCTGATAGGTCAGCTCCACCGTCCTGCCGTCAGAGGAATGTTCAAATCTGGATCAGTTTTTATCAGATCCGTTGCAGCCCCGTTTTTAGAGATTTGGGTATGGAGGAAAAGAGAGAGGGTTGTGTTTTCTGACACTTGGTGAGTTCCCTGGAACACCGGGGACACATATTCATGTATAAAAGACGTACAAAAGTGCATTTTGCATGATAGGTCCCCTTTAAGGTAGAACATTTGTATTTTATTTACAAAATAATGCTTATTAAGTGTAGCTGACTTTAATCATTACCATATCTGTTTATTATATTTGAGTGTGTTTTCAGTTGTCTTCACAGATGATGGCCTCTTTTACTATTTTATTTTTAAAATAACTAGAAAATGACATTAGCATAACCTCAGCTAATGATTAATCAACCAATCAGTCCAATGTATTTGTTGATTTATGTTTTTTATTAAATCTAAAAGAAATATACACAGGTTTTGATTTTATTCTCTTTTATTTTATATTTATTGGACATTTTACTTTAACTTCTTATTTTAGTATAAATATATTTATGTTATCTTAAGTTCTTTATTTCTTTATTTTTTGAAAATTCTTATGTTTATATATATATATATACACATACATGTAAAAAGACAGTTTTAAATGTATTCGTCTTTCATATATATCAGTCTTAAATGGTGCAACTATCAAAAGACTCAATTTCCACTGGGATATAAAGAAAGAAAGTTGAATTTTGATCAGTCTCTAAACGGTTATTGATTCAACTTTTTCTGTTGTAAAATGTTGTATTAGCATGGAAAGCGCCAAAACTACATATTATTATAAAATGAGTGAAGGAACTTACTCTTTGATCAGGGCTTCCCCGATCCTCACATCTGTGGAGAGTAAAACAGCTTTAGTAAGCAGCATTATACCCTCTGTAACAGTACCTGTGTCAATAGCAGAGGTGAAGTACTCAGATCTTGTACTTACTCCACCAGGTGTAACTAAAGTGTGATTTATTATTATATTTCACATCATTAATCCAAATCTGTAAAGTAACTAAAGCTAGTAAATACATGTAGTGGAGTAAATGTACACCATTTACACCTGAATTGTAGTGGAGTAGAAGTACAAAGTAGCAACAAATTGAAATACTCAAGTAAGTACTTAAGTACAGTACTTGAGAAAGTGTACTTAGTTACTTTCCACCAGTGGTTCTCAAATGGGGGTACGCGGACCCCTAGGGGTACGTTGGAGTACTGCAGGGGGTACGTGAGATTTATTTTATGTTAATGAAAAAAAAAAACATAATTAATGCATTCAAACAAACTACTAATAGTAGATTAACTACTTTATTCAAAAGTTTACAGTAATTCTGGATAATAAAATGGGAAAAGTAAACGGGGTGCTCTCTTTTCCTCTCTCCTGACAGCCCGTCAGTCTCGTGCAGCTCACTGAACCTGTAATAAGTGAGCCGACAGTAAATAATAAATATATTTATAACTAGTTTAGCTAGTTCCAGAGTAGATAAACTAGCTAAGTGTGTGTTAGGTCTAACTCTTACGGACCGTCTCCACAGCAGCGTTAAAAAAATCTTGGAGGTGGGCGTATCTGAGGCTTGGGAATTGTTTTGATCAACCAATCACATGAATCTCCCGCCCGCGACATACGAAGCCAAAAAGCCCGAAGTAAACTGGATATAAACTCCCCAAAACAGGCGAAAACATACCACTGTCTCTGCCACCTCCCTCCATGCCTGGCTCCTCCGGTTTATATCCCGGTAGGTCTGGTCATAAAGCACCGGGTGATTGATTCGCTACCGCTAATTTCTCCTCCATTTTTTGGAATATGAGGAAATGATCTGCGGTATGTCTCTCCCAGCATACACGCCGTTTGATTGGCTAGAGCTTGAACTGCCAGATTTGCGTACACGGGATTTGATTGGCTGCCGCTTCCACCTCAGCTTCAAAAGTTGAACATTGTTCAACTTTGAATCTTGAAAATCCTGAGAATCTCCGCTCGCCTGCCCACAATGCATTCCGGCGAAAAGTGAGGGAAAGTGACGTCACCCCATTCAAAGTGAATGGGCAGAAGCGTTTCAAGATTTTTTAACGCTGCTGTGGAGACGGCCCGTTACGGGCCGTCTCCACAGCAGCGTTAAAAAATCTTGGAGGTGGGCGTATCTGAAGCTTGAGGATTTTTTGCGAGCAACCAATCACATGAATCTCCCGCCCGCGACATACGAAGCAAAAAAGCCCGAAGTAAACTGGATATAAACTCCCCAAAACAGGCGAAAACCCCATTCAAAGTGAATGGGCAGAAGCGTTTCAAGATTTTTTAACGCTGCTGTGGAGACGGCCCGTTAGTGTATTTTGCTCGGCTCAACGGTCCGTCACAGCGGCGGAGCTGTGATCATGCAGAGCTGCGTGTTCTCCGTCAGCAGCAGCTGATCTGATCTCTGATCTCTCTCTCGCGTCCGGTTATACTTCACTCGCGTTTATGTCCAAATCTATCAGATCTAGCTAGTTCTAGTTAATGATATGACCGCCTGCTTTTCAAAGGACCTAAACAATAAGCGTTGCTTGACAACGGCGTGTGGCCGCAAAGTATCGCGCAGCATTATGCATATGTTTATATGAGGGGTCACAATCCCATGCTCATAAAATGCTCATATATTTTTTTCTCTTCATACCCCACGCCCCTAAATAAATAAATATACAAATATACCAATTTTAGGAAAAGTAACGAAGTTTGAGCAGTGTGGGTTTTATATTAACAGAGTTACACATATTTCAAAACGCGAAGTGTAATAACTGCAGTTTGCCTCCCTGTCAGAATGACAAAGATCCTCAGTGAAGCACAAGCCCATGTTTCTCACTACATTGTAAGTACAACTTATTAAAAGGATCAGTTCAATGCAACTAATGTCGTCTTAGTGTTATTGCATGATGTTAAAATTGGTTTGCCATGAATTTAGTGATGGATTGTAACATTTGAAATGTAGCATTTAAGTGTTTCTCAGTTACAA